TGTGCAACATAAAACAAGTACCAGTAGGCCCTATACTATACCAGAACAAGATGCCATTGGGACAGACCACATTTACCAAACAAATATTACCCAGCACGTCAGTACACTGCACCTTATGAAATGTTATAATTACATGTAGGTGGCGTGCTAGTACAACTGTATGTATTTAAATTCACTTAATTAATGGGCTGGAACAAAAGCTAACAAGACATGTACCAGTGTATATACACGTACAGGAACATGTAATTAGGCAAGTTTTTACTAAATGTGGAGTCTTTGACCTCAAAACCCTCTATCACATTTCACAAAATGACTGTTTCTGGACATATTCGCTCTATTTGGAAGGTATCTTACATGTACCGGTACCTCCAGCCTCTCAGAGCAGTTTTGTTGAGGAAAAAGAACCCCTCTCCCTTCCACTATCGCAGGATCTTCATTAGACAATTCTCTGAAAGGTCTGAAGGGATGGGGGAAAAATCTGCCCCATCAAGCCACATGACTCATCACTTGACCATGCAACCACAGGCTTCTGTAAACAAGCTGGTCCTGTTGGCTACACTGTACATGTACATGTACTTGCTAAGTCATGAGGGGGGCACATGGGTATAGTGAACAGGTTTTGGTAGGGTACCAGCAGAGGTACATTGTAAATCCTCAAGGACACCCCTGAAAAAAATCTCCTTGTTCAGTTTCAACGCTTCCACAAATAATTTTTTCTCGATGCATTAAGTGGTCATTTTCTTTATTAGGGATCATCCATTTTAACAAGAGTACTTAGCGCTTGTTCCCTGGACCCCTTCCAAGAGCATACATATGTACAAACTGAAAATTAAAAAAATGGAATTATCATCATTTTTTGAAAAAAAAAAGGGTAATGTAAATAGCCTCCTAACCGCCTCCCCGCAATGTATGGTTTGCGTGCTATTCATGAAATGATTACAAAAAAAATTAATAATAATCTTTGCGTAAAGTTACACAAAGCAGGGCGGTTGTTTTCCTCTTGATGCTTTTACTACTAGAATCACAAAATCACAACAGATCAGTGAATGTAACCAAACCTATTTTGAACAACTGACCCAGTGGTATCATTAGATCTGTACATCCTTTCATCTTGGCTGGTGAAAAAAAAAGGACAACAGGTGAACACAATTTACCAGTACATGTACATGTACAAGTATGTATAACCAAGCCTGTAAACCTGCAGGTTGCGTCACTGCCAATTATTCACTGATGAACTGTGCTGTATGACCACAATGATCAGTGGGTGTGAAAAAGGCCCACTGATACCCACTGGCCTTGACCACATAGGAAATTAAAGTTTGTGGAGAAACCAGAAAAGTTTATGTCCACATGTATGATGTTCCTGAATGACATCTAGTGGACCCAAACGAACACATGCACACTTGGGATGGTACCAACTGGTGCTGCAACAACTATACATGTACTTAGAAATTTGGGACCATTCGAAATGACTGGTACCGGTATGTACCGGTAGTACACTGTAGTTGGGACCATTGCGGTTGGCAAATTCACTACCACCTGAGGCACATGTACACATGTATATGTACATGAATAGTGAGTGTGATACATGTACATGTGCATGTACCTGTAGGATAAATTTTCATAGATGTTGCTGCAGACGCGCCAACATGTGCAATTTCTATGCCCAATTTTCATCATTTCCAAGCCAATTCCTCCCTTTTCCTTGACATCAAATATTTTCACACAGATTCAATTTAGAGGAATATAAATCCCCGCTTCAGTAAAAGACTGAACCGGACAGTTGCGGATCACTTCTGCATCATGTAACAATAACCACAACACCGGGCGTATTAGTGTATTTTCGGTATTACATCGAAAGAGCTAGGGGACCTGCCTCACAGCATTCAAAGCTGTGCAAAAAAAGCAAAAAAAAAACGTAAATGTTGACAACATGTCAGCGGAAACCAGAAATCTGCCTTTTCATACCGGTAATTCCCTTCATTCCCTTCATCAGTTCAAAACATAGCTGGAAATTTTTCCAGAATGCATCGTGGTCCGTGGTTGATTTTTGTTTGAACCATTTCCAAATTTTCTATTCCAACTGCTGTAAATTAATAGATACCGTACCAGTGTATATTGAAAACTGTGGTAAACATGTATCTCAGAAAAGAGGCCTTGCTATGCAAGAATTAACTCTCACTTAATCACATGTTCTGGATCTGTCAATTATACGGTAGCCTACTGTACATTTACACTGTACATATCAAGTTCATGTGCATGTACAGGACGTTACAAATGACAACTGACAATGTGAACTGTCCACTGGGAAATTTGTGTGTGTGAAGGAATAAATCTCCACTTGTGTGAAAAGGCATGGGAATGTTTCCCTGCTATTTTGCACAACGATTGTCTTTTGAAGAGGTTAACCGTGACATGAATTTTTTTTTTTTTAAATTTCCAACCTGTAGGCACTCTTCTTGCCTGGATGAATAAAGACAAATAGGGGCCTAATCCATCATAACAGCTCTGGCCAAGGTTCCACAAAGATCACTGACCTGGTACATGTAGTTTGTACACAGTACTGTGCATTACACATTTCAGGCATTCTTCCAAGCCAACTAGAGATTTACGCACTGGTGTTTTTGTCAGCAACCCATTCATGAGGTAGAGGATGTCATTAATTACTCCAGAAACAGCAGTCTGCAAATGTACATGACAAAGTAGGGGCCTACCTTGTACATGCACATGTATGTAAAAAGCATGTACATTGTACACACACGTGTGTGTACATGTACGTACATGTGCATACTGAGTACATGTACGTACATGTAAATGCCAAGTAGGCTTTGACTTTCGTTTACCATTTATTTTTCAATGACGGACAGTGACACACAGCCGAACTGTTACTTCAAGTTTTCAACCCGTGGCTGTGCCCAAGATAGAACATGACATGGTCAATGATTAAATAAGCCTGACTTGAGTGACCCACAAACTGGGTGGGGACTGATCAAACATACTTAAAGGGGGAGGCATGTACTGCAGAGCAAGGTTCAAGACCCATTTTGCGCCACTGACTCTGTCCCCTCCCTCCCAACACAGTTTTCTGGTCATGTTCGAGGCAGACACTTCTCCGGTAAAAACAGGAAGCAATTTTCCTCATTCATGGAGATTTACATGTACATGTACTTTCACCAAGACAATGTTGTGCAAGATGAAATATTCAAGAATGTCAGTTTCACACCTACAGTCAAAGTTTAAACTTGGCGTCCACACGTACCATACGTACACTTTTAAACAAACAACATTTGTTGGGCCACCAGGCTAACTGGTATTTCGACGGAACCAGTACCGGTAGGTTGGAGAACATTGAGCTACACATACAAAGAGCAACATGTACGTATACATTATACCTGTACCATAAAATACCCACAAGCCTACTACAGTACAGTACCTCTAGAGATCCATGTATATAATTACATCGAGTTCACGGAGACCAAAACAAACGTCAAGCATTAATCCGGCCAAATTGACAACTGCGGCTGTAATTTTTTTAAATAAAATACACTCGTTCTGCATGGTGTTAAACATTTTTGAAACTAGACCAAAAATCATTTGTTTCAGTTCAGACGATGCCAGCACTTGCATAATCCACAAGCGATACGATGTCAACTGACACTGCTTAAATGACAAACAGAGTGCTGAACTGAAGAAACAAGAAACCAGCCCCCAAAAAAAACTAGTTTGAAAAAAAAAAACTGGAACTGCCCAAGAGAAAATACAATAAAAAAGTTATGATCATATCACCAACAGTGATGGTCGGAAGTGCTCTCAGAAGAATGATGGGTGGTATAAAATTCAGTTTGCTTTGAAAATTGACGTGCACTCGTGCGTGAGAATGAAAACTAGAGTATGAAATCATGGCTAGACATTCCATGCGTTTGGAATCTGCCTGTCTTACCAAAAGTAGACATGACTGAGCAAAACGTGGGACTGAAATACAAAGTAAGAGACCTAAACTAAGTCCTACTGGGTTTTTTACTTGCTTGCGGTATATGTGAGAATGTTCCCCAGTATTACCTTGGTTCTGATGAATGTCTGATCAAAAGCTAGTAGAAGAACAAAATTGATCGCACTAGCACGTTTCGTTTGACCGCTATATTGGCCTAATTTCACGCATTGTGAACTGTTTCAAAAGTCGCCCAGGATGTAAGCTATAACCTTTACCCAATTGGTGTGGATAAAAATCATTTATCAAGAAAGGCCCTTGACAATGGTACATGTGTATTTACAGGCAACAAAAGCCCCAACAATAGCCCCTCTACTTAATGCACAAGTGACTTCAAATCCTAGCATCCAGAACTCTCGCGCATATGCAGCAAGGTAT